CAGCCCAGTGGTGCAGCCTGAGCTCCCAGCCTGGGAATGGGGGGAGCTCTTGGCTGGGGCCGGGGGAATCTGGGCCAACGAGGCCATTGTCCCTGCTCCGCACGGGGGGGCTGCACTAGCCGGGCCAGGATGCCATTAACTCCTGTTACCGATCCCCAGAAACAGCTGGCAGGCTGACAGCGGGGGGAGGCCCCGCGCCCACCCAGCCCCAAGCCAGCGGCTGCCAACTCGAATCCCGTCAGCCCCGACAGCTACTCGATGCTGGGCACGGTGCCCGCTGAAGGTCGCCGCGCCCGCCCCAGCAGCGCCTGGGGGTGGGATAGGGGCACAGACACGGCAGGTCCCCTTCACGCCCCCTCCCCGGCCATGGCCCTGCCCATGCAAGATCCCGGTCTGCCCTGCCGTGGTAGGCACGGGGCAGGTCCTGGCACCCGATGCGCCCGGCCCCCCCGATCAGCATGCTCCCTGCCTGTACCCTGCACGGATGGGCTGGTGGGGAGCAGGGGGCACCTGGCCGTCTGGTTTGGGGATCACCAGAGGCCACGACCCCGCTGGCTGCAGGGACGTGGAGCAAAGCACCGTGCTGCAGTGCCCCTGGGTGCCCCTGGGGTGGGTCGATTCAGGCCCGTCAGTGGTGCTGTCAGGCCTGAATCCACCCACCCCAGCCGCCCGGGCTAGCGGGCTGCAAGGCAGAGCTGGACTTGGCTGGCGATGGCAGTGTGCATGGAGGCCCTGACCCACAGCAGGGGCTGTTTCTGGCCCTTCGGGGCTGCAGTAAATGCCAGGGCACCAGGCGCATGGTCTGCAGCAGCCCTACGTGCTAGTGCAAGCCTGGCAGAGCAAGAAGAGTGGCGTGCGAGCAAGCTGGCAGTGCATGGAGACCCCGTGTAGGGGAATGCATGGGAGAGGCCGAGACGCATGGGGCTGACCCCCACGCTGCCCCTGGCCGAGGTCGGAGAAGGACGGAGCTGAGGCCCCTGCAGAAGGGGCGCCGCAGTGGGTGCAGGGGGGTCCGGACGTCCCCGGGCCGATGCGCCGGCGGGTGCGAGAGTGCCACAAAGCCGGGAAGAAATCAATGCACCCGCTGAACCGTTCCCGTGGCAACGGCTGTTGTCAGTTTCCACCAATCAATGGCGCGGAGCCGGGAGCCCGGCTGGGAGGGTCGGGGCCTGGCATAAAGGGGCCCGCCGGCTCGGTCGCTCCCAGTCCCCCGTCGCCGCCCTGCCATGGCCAGGATGCCGGGCGGCTGGCCCGGTGCTCCCTGGTGCTGGTGCTGCTGCGGTGCCGCCGTCCTGCTGCTCTTGCTCACCGTGCACGCAGGTAAGGGTGCCCCTGGGCTCCCCCAGGCAGGGTCAGCGGGCTCCTGGCACCAAGTTGTGCCACGGTCCGGTGTGGCGCCGTCTGCCGCAGCTCATCCGCAACCAGCCAGGACCAGGAGACGTGCCCAGACCCTGCAACTTTCTGCTGGGATCGGCTGGAGCAACTTGCCGGGTGGGCAAACCCAGCTCACGCCCAGAGAGGTGCCCTGGCAGGCCGGACTCACCCGCCCGCTTGCACGGGGATGCTCCTAGTCCCGGGCCCAACGCAGTCCATGCTTCGCGGCTGCAAGAAGCAGGCGCCGGCTGGAAGTTGTGTACTGGGCGCTTGCTCTGCCAACCGAGTCCTCTGTCCTCGAGGCTGGGGCGGGCAGAGGGGGGGTTTGTCCTTCCGATTCTCCCTTTGTCTCAGCTGCAAGAACAGGCTGGGCTTTCAGCCCCCGCGGCCGGAGGAGGCGAGAAGCGAGACTTGGCTCCGCCGCGGGTCCCATTCAGGGAGCTGGCGAGGCCGTGCCATGCCCGGAGCTGCGCGGGGACGGGCTCCGGGCTCTGCGCGCTGGGGCTGGGCGGGAGGCTGAGGTCCCGGGGAAGACACCGAGAAGAGGCCTGGACCATTCCTGCCCCGGTGCTCCCAGCTCGCCGTACAGCTGGCACCAAGGCCCAGGGGCATAGCTTGAGCCAGGCCACATACTCGCCCCATCTCCTGCCCATGGGGCCACGATCCCCATACTGAGAGGCCCCACGCGCCCATTGCCATGCCGTCCTGGCGCCCGCCCCATCGGCTCTGCTCCTGCCCCGCAGCCCAGCGCGCGGAGCTCGGGGTGGACACCGCGGCGGCCACCATCAACCACGCGCCGGCGCTGCTGCAGCGGCTGCAGGGCCTGCTGCAGCAGGGCAACAGCAGCGACACGGTGCTGCGGGTGCGCCCGGCGGGCAGCGACGAGGTCCAGGTCTTCCACACGCACCAGCTGCTGCTGGCCCTGCAGAGCGACGTGCTCGACGGGCTCCTGCACAACCGCTCCGTCCTCACGCTGGACGAGCCCCCCGACAGCGCCGCGCTCTTCGACAAGTTCATCAGGTCCGGGGCTGGCGGGGGGCAGCGGGGGATGCTCAGAGCCCTGAGGGTGGGCGGTGGCGGGTGCTCACAGTCTCCTGACACGCCGGCCCGTGGCCCGCAGGTACCTGTACTGCGGGGAGGTGTCGTTGCAGCTGCACCAGGCCATCCCGCTGCACCGGCTGGCCAGCAAGTACGGCGTGGCAAGCCTGCAGCGCGGCGTGGCCGAGTACATGCGGAGCCACCTGGCCAGTGAGTCGAGCCAGGGCCACGTGGTGGGCTGGTACCACTACGCCACGCGCGTGGGCGACGCGGGGCTGCAGGAGAGCTGCCTGCAGTTCCTGGCCTGGAACCTGTCGGCCGTGCTGGGCAGCGCCGAGTGGGCCACGGTGAGCGCCGAGCTGCTGCTGCTGCTGCTGGAGCGCTCCGACCTGGTGCTGCACAGCGAGCTGGAGCTGTACGGCGCCGTGGAGGCGTGGCTGGTCCGCCGGCAGCCCGAGGCCCGCGTGGCCGAGCGGGCCCTGCGCGCCATCCGCTACCCCATGATCGCGCCCAGCCACCTCTTCCAGCTGCAGGTGCAGTCGCCCGCCATGCTGCGGCACCGTGCCGCCGTGCAGGACCTGCTCTTCCAGGCCTTCCAGTTCCACGCCGCCTCCCCGCTGCACTTTGCCAAGTACTTCGACGTCAACTGCAGCATGTTCCTGCCCCGCAACTACCTGGCGCCCGCCTGGGGCTCGCCCTGGGTCATCAACAACCCGGCGCGGGACGACCGCAGCACCAGCTTCCAGACCCAGCTGGGCCCCAGCAGCCACGATGCGGGCAAGAGGGTCACCTGGAACGTGCTCTTCTCCCCGCGCTGGCTGCCCGTCAGCCTGCGGCCCGTGTACGCCGACGCCGTGCCCGGGGCGCTGCCCGCCGCCCGGCTGGAGGACGGGCGTCCCCGCCTGGTGATCACGCCGGCCATGTCCAGCTCCGACTTCGCCGGCGTCAGCTTCCAGAAGACGGTGCTGGTGGGCGTGCGGCAGCAGGGCCGCGTCTTCGTCAAGCACGTCTACAGCTTCCACCAGAGCACGGACGAGGTGCCCGACTTCCTGGCCCACGCCGACCTGCAGAAGCGCGCCTCCGAGTACCTCATCGACAACGCGCTGCACCTCCACATCGTGGTCAAGCCCGTCTACCACTCCCTCATCAAGGTCAAGAAGTAGCCGGGCGGACGGGCCCTGTGCTCCGGATTTGGGGCAGGGGGCAATTCCCGGGGCTTTTCCCTTCTAGATAGACGTGCGTTCGAGATAGGCTCTGGGACGGTGCCTGTCACCCGGCCCCCAGGCTCTCGGGGGGCAGGGAGGGGGGCATATGGGCAGAGGAAGAAGCCCCGCACCCAGCTGCCCCCGATGCCCGGGCCCCTTCTAACCGTGACCCCTGTCCGAGCTGGGCGGTCGCGCGGGTTGGCTTCGCCTTGGCTGACCCCCCGTGACTGCGGCCCCAGCTCCTGGGTCCAGCTGTGGCCGGCGGGTGCTAGGAGCGCCCGCTCCCTGTGCCGGAGGCTGGGATCCAGGTGGGGCATCTGTGCTGCCAGGCAGGTGCGTGCCCGCTGGGTGTGTGAGCACCGGTGACGGCAGCCCGGGGCGCTGCGGGGGTGCCCAACTGCCCCAAGCCCTGGCATGGTGACACTAGCCGCCCCTGCCAGCCAGACTCCCGGTGCTGACCACGGCCACCCCACGGCAGCTTGTCACGGCCCCGGGGCTCCGGAGAGTCTCGGCTGCCCTGAGCTCCCGAATAAAAAGCAGGAAACGTGTCCTCTGCGGTGCTGGTGCCTTCTTGGGTGGGGGGTGTTTTGCTCCCTCCCGAAAGCCGGGCATGTTGGCCAGCTGGCCAGAGAGCCACGAGCCCAGAGCTGTGTGCTGGTGCCAGGCCCTGCTGGGCTCCCGGCTGCCGCGTCTGCGCTGCTGGCAGGAGCCCGGCTCGGGTAAAGCAGCTGGGGTGTGCCTGCGGGCGCACGCCACGTGCCGCCTGCTGCCGCGCACGCCTGCCACGCGCCCCCGCGGCTTTGGGCACAGCCGGAAGGAGGTAGGTGTGGAGGCAGCCTCCCCGAACCCCCAGCCCCAGGGAGCCAGCAGGGCTAAGTGACGTGTCCAGGGCTGCAGGGTGAGTCGGCGGCAGAGCAGGGGGACAGACTCCATCTCTTTGCCCCCCCCGCCTTGGCATTGACCCCTACCCGCCCCCCGCAAAGGACAAAACAGCAAGGTGCCATCCCGGGCTCTCGGCCACGGTGTTTAATGCAGCCTGACCGAGGAACGCAAACCGCGGTGCTGCCTCCGTGCCCTGCGCCCTGCCCCCGGGGGTCCCAATCCCAGGCACCGCAGCTCCAGCCGGCTGCAAAAGGGTCAGGATTGGGCCCCGGTCCAGCCAGGAGTTTGGCAACGTGAGTCATGGCCAGAGCAGCTGCTTGGAAATGCAGAAGCCCCCCGGGGCTCCCGTCAATGGGGTGGGAGTCTGCAGACACCCCAAATGCCACGGGTCCTGTGACCCCTTGGCAGGCAGGATGCCCCAGTGCAGGAGAGCCTGATTTCAACCCCTGTCCTCCCCGGGCGCCCCAGGCCCTGCACGAACCCCACAGCGGGGGGGGGGGGGACCCTGAGCTTCCCAGCGCTGTGGGGCAGCGAAACCCGGGCCGTCCCAGCTGGGCTCAGCCCCTCAGTATCTGTGGCTCCGGCCGTCCTTGCTGCCAGCGTTCCTCGCGATGTAGCCGGGCCGGGCGCGCTGGCTGGTGGCGGGGCCTTTCTTCAAGCCACCGGGGTGGGCCAGGGCCAGGGGGAGCGTGGGCGAGTCCCCAGGACCTGGGGAAACAGACACCAGGAGCGCTGAGAAGTGGGACCTCTGCTCTGCTCCAGCACCCGGCCCTCTCCCCTCCCTGGCACGTGGCGGGGCAGAGGGCAGGGCACCCGGGCCAGGGAAGGTGCAATGCAGCTAGTGGTTGCAGCAGGGTCCTTGCGGCCTCTGCCCCGGCCACGCCAGGGAAGGAAAGTCCCTCTGCCCAGGCTGGGAGGGCAGGGGGCTTTAGTGCCAGCCCCAGCGCCATGCACATGCATCCAACCCACATGGACCCGACTCCTTGTCCCTGGACCCAGACCAGGCACCAATGCCCAGTGGCGCATGCCTGATGCCCCCTGCCGCTCACCTGGGGGCTGGCTCTGCGGCAGCCGCACCTTGGCCAGGTGCAGCGGGGCTTTGCTGGGCACCCGGGCGGGCGGTGCCAGCTGGCTGCCTCCCAGCAGCCAGTGCTCGGAGCTGGTCTCCAGGGGTCTGCAACGTGGCACGTTGCTCTTCAGGCCAGAGAGCTGCGGGGGGACACGATGCATCACAGCAGGAGGCTCCAGCACCTCCACCCTTGCACCCAGCGCAGTACCAGGGTCCCGGGCCAGGCCACGGGCACTCTTATGCCAGCATGCACAACAGCGTCCCTGCCACCCCCGGTTCAACCCCGCCTCCCCCCACCACGGGCACTGGGGCCGACGCTGCCAGGAGTGGGCGCTGTGCCTAAGCCACACGTACCCCGTGGCCGGTGACCTCGAAAGACCGGGACCGCCGCTTCCTCCGCTTGGCATCCAGCGACTCCTCCCGCCTCTCCAGCTTCTTGCTGCCTTTCTTGTGCGCCCGGAGCCAGGGCCCGGGCGAGCGGTTGGGGAGCGTGCCACCAGCCTGCGAGCCCGCTTCCCCGGTGCTGCTGGACAGGTTGTCCTCGCTGGTGGCGTGCGGCAGGCCGGGGCTCGGTGCCCGGCGGCCCAGGGGGGTGGCGGGGGACAGGGGGTCTTCGCTCTCGCTTAGCGAGTGCAGCGACAGGCTGCTTGGCTCCTTGGCCGGCTCCAGCAGGGGCAGCCGGTCGCACTCCAGGGCCCGGGAGCGGCGCCGGGCAGCCTTTACCGCGATGCTCTTGGTGCCACTCAGGATCTCCTTGCGCTCTGCTGCCAGGGACATGGGGTAAGGGGAGCAGGGATGAGTTCTCCCCTGCTGGGAGGGGATGCCAGATCTGGACGTGAGCCCAGAGACCCTCCTGGACCCGCCGGAGGCTGCAAACCCCAACACTCCTGGCATGATGTTAATGCCCTGGGCAGCTGCCCTGTGGTAGGGACAGGGGCACCTTGGCAGGGCAGGAGAGCACAGGCACTGCATACCCTGTGTTCATAAGAGGCAGCAATGCATGTGAATGAGTGTGCAAAGGCGTGCTTGCACGTGACAGCACATGCACACGTGTGATGATATCACAGCGGCTGCCAAATGTGTCCGTGACCTGCACGGAGCAGCAGGTGCTAGGGCACGCGTGCACGCTGGGGCGTGTGCAAGCTCACGTGTCCACAGGCGACGCTGCAGCAACTGTGTGCATCCACATGCATGTGGCCGACCAGCATGGCAGCATCCCTTGCAGGTGCATGGGGCCTTGATTGCACTCAGCCCCCCTGGGACGCTAGTTTGGCCTTCACCCCTTTCCCCTGGGTGCCCAGGCCCTGCCGGGGTGGGCAGTACCTCTGTGCGCAAGGGCGAAGTCGGTGCAGAGCTCGCCGCTATCCGGGGAGGAGGTGCGCTGGCTGCCCAGGCTCACCAGGCTGTCCCGGGGCAGGCACTGGGGGCAGAGACACAGGCATGTGTGTGTGCCCAGTGGCATGGTGGAGGCAGCCTGCATGGACTGTGGATGCTCCCAGCCGGGTCCAGGAGTCCTGGCCCTAGGTGCCACCCAGCTCCCGTGGCCGCGCTCACCTCCTGGGTCACCAGGCCATTGACGTGGATGGGGGGCGGCGTCTGCACGGCCGAGCTCTTGAGCAGCTGTGCCCGCGGGCTGGCCTTGAACATCTGGGCTGGGTCACTGGCGAGGGGAACGAGTTGTGGATGCCCACCTCACGTGCACGCATGCAGACATGGGCGCACACACGTGTGCAGAGCTCAAAGGTGCTAGCAGCCCCCAGCAGTGCCTTGGACCCACTGCTGTGGCTCTCCGGCCCCAGTGATATGGATGGGCCAAGCCCCATGGATGAAGCCCCGTGGCCAGGTCCCCCCCTGCACCCCAGCACGAAGCCCCTACCTCTCTGCCTCGCCAACCAACGGGGGCAGGGTGCTCCTGCGGGAATCCCGCTGCGCCGGGGGCTCCGAGCCCAGTGTCCTCACGCTCTCCTGGTCCGAGTCCAGCGCGCCGTCGCCCGCTGGGAGCTGGGGGAGCTTGGACAGACACATGCCTTGCTGGGGATAAGCCCAGCCCAGGTGCTTTGGGAGCTGGACAGCCCCCCACCACGCCAGGCCATCCCAGCCCAGGGACATGCAGCAGCCGGAGCCCCCCTGTGCCCCACCTGGAGCCCCTGTCCCCTCCTGGGCTGTCCTGGGCACGCGAGTGGAAAGCCCCCCTGCTGCTGCAGGTACCTTGAGGGTCTTGCTGGCCACGCGGTCCAAGCCGCCCTCCTCCAGCTCCCGCAGGTAGATCTCGTACAGCTCTTCCAGGTGCCGCGGCACCGACAGGTGGTACTCTGCCGGGAGAGCGCAGGGGTCACAGGCCCACGGAGCTGCCCCAGGAGCCCTGCCAGCTCCCAGCCCTTGGGCCAGTGCCCGGGGCAGGGGGCTGTGCCAGGCTGGGCTCGCCCCAGCTCCTGCTGCCCGCCCCCACCCTCCATAGCACCATCTAGGTGGGTTTGTGCTCTGCCTGGTGCTGGGGGGCTGGCGTGCTATGATGTGATGTCACTGCATTGTGGTGTGATGTCATGGCACCGTAAGCCGTAATACGGTGGCACAGCCTGGCACTGCAGGACCGAGTCGGGATGGGGCCTCCCCGTGTCGTCACAGCACACGGTGACACAGGCTGTGAGGTCACGGCATGACGTCGCATTGGGACCTAGCCTCATTGTGGACACCCTGGGAGGATCGTGTCATGTCATGGACCCTACGCCATGACAGTCACGTGCGGTGACAAAGGTTCATCTGGTTGTGATACAGTAGGACAGACGTGCCTCATGCCAGGGCATTTGGACACTGCCACAGTTCAATCGCGTGTCCCAAATAGAGATAAGCCCACAGCACACCCAGTGTCATGTCGACAATGCATGTCACGACATGGCTGGCACAAACCAATCCTGCTGGAACATGCCAGTACCATACTGAGACACACCAAGGATAGGCTCGTCCCAAATGGATCCTGCTGGAACACGCCATCATCGCGCCATGACACACCGAGTGTCACACAGCCATCTCATATCACGACACGACCGTCCCAAATGGATCCCACTGAGATGCACTCATGCCATGAGACATCACACGTCACACAGACAACCCATGTCGTGACACGACGGTCACAAACAGATCCCACCTTGACACGCCAATAGTGTCATGTGGCCAACTCATGTTGTCACATGAGGGTTAAAACAGATCCCACCTTGACATGCTAATGGCATCACATAGCCAACTCATGTTGCAGCGTGACAGCTACGACAGGGCCTAGCCATGCCCCACCATGCGGCAGCCCCTCTGCACCGGTGCCAGGATGAGCGCGTACCGCGGATGAGCTGGCGCTGCTGGCGGATGATCTGGTGGCAGAGGCGGCGATGCTGCTCGAAGCGTTGCGCTGCGTCGTCCCGGTGCAATTGCAGGTCTGCGCTCTCTGCCTCCAGCTGGCGCACGCGGCACAGCAGCCCCAGTGCCTCGCGCTGCTCTTCTGCACCCACGGGCCGTGGCAGCGCCTCCTCCAGCCGCCGGCCCCGCTGCTGCAGCTCCCGCAGCCGCCGCTCCAGCTCCCCCTGCGCATCGCACTGGGTCACCTCCAGCCACGGACTGCTGGGGGGGCCTCGTGGCCTGGCCTGCTGCCTCTGGCACACCGTGCCCGTGCCCCTGTCTGGGCCATGGCCCTTGCCCATGCCCCCTGTCCACACCCACAGCCCAGCCCCCGCTTCCCCCTTGCTCACCCTCCTCCTAGTCCTGCCAGGGCCCCCTACCCTGCCCCAGCAACCATTCCTGGGTCATTTCCGACTCGGGTCTGATGCCCCTGCTGAATGAGGAGTGACTGCATGTGTGTGTGTGTACATGTGCATGTGCAGTGGGTGTGCGTGCACATGTGCAATGGCTGTATGCATGTGTCCAAGTGTGTGTGCAGATGCAGTGACTGTGTGTGTGCGCACGCGCACACGTGTGCATGCATACTTGCATGCAGGGGGTGTGCGCGTTCACATGCAGTGGCTGTATATGGGGGTGCATGTGTGCAAGTGCAGTGGCTGTGTGTGTGTGTCCACATGTGCAGTGGGGCCATGTGTGTGTGCATGCACACATGCAACAGCTGAGCGTGCATGTGTGCATGCAGTGGCTCTGTGCACACGCACATATCTGCATGTGCAGCGGCTGTGTGTGTGCACGCGTGTGCGCATGCACACATGAAGTGGCTGTGTACATGTGTGTGTGCATGTGCAATGGCAGTGTGTGCGCGACTTCTGCTCCTGTGGCTGGAGACGCAGGCCTCAAGCAGCTGCCCCGTAGCATCGGCACCTTCTGCTTGTGCAGCTTCTTCTGCTCGCCCAGCAGGGCAGCGATGGCCTCACGGGCCGCGGCCACCTCCGGCGGCTCGGGCACGTCCGACTGGTCGTCCCCTGTGTCCGAGTCCTTCTCGCTCTCGTCCTTGCCCCGCGTCTCCTTCCGCCGCTCTCCCCGCCGCTTCTGGGCACGCTGCGTCTTCTCCTGCTCCCAGCTGCAGCCGCGCACCCCAAGGACGGAGGGCATTAGCCTGGGGCTATCCCCCCCCGTAGCACCCACCCCGCCAGCAGAGGGCGCTGCATGGGGGGGGCAGCACGTCGCCCCCGTGCCACGGGGCATGCAGAAGCCAAGCCAAAACCCAGCTGCCCAGGCAGAGCCGGGCACGAACCGATGCCCTGGGGCTGGGGTATATGGAGCGGCCTGTCTCCGTCTCCACTTACTCGGCCACGGTGAGCAGGTGGCGGGAGCTCTCCAGCTGCACCTCCGTGCAGGCGTTGTCCAGCGTCAGGAGGTGGCGTCGCACGTCCATCTGCTCCTGGAAGGTGCCCACCAGCTGTGCCTGCAGCTGCTCCGTGTCCCTCCGCGTGCACTGGGAGCTGTGCAGCTGCACCTCGGCTGCGGGGCGGCAGAGAGGGGCATCAGGGCCGGCGCACACCCCAGGCCCCCAGGACCACCGCCAGACCCTGTACCTTGGATGTGGCGGATGTTGCCGTGGTCGGGCAGGCCAGGGGCGAGGGTGAGGGCTGGGCGGGAGCCCTGCTGGTCAATCTTGCCCTTGAGGCGCTGGATCTCGCGGCGCAGGTCGGAGATGATGCTGGTGTACTGCGCAATGTGGTACGAGACGTTCAGCAGGTTCCTCTTCACCTGGGGGGGCAGAAGGGCCTGGGTCCTGGCGTGGTCGCACCCCCCTTCCAGGCCTGCTCCCTACAATCACTAAACCCTGGGGGGTGGGCAGGCAGCAGCTTTTGTAATTCAGTTGACTTCATGGCTTATCAGCATCTCCCAATTCCTGCTAATCTCTCTGCTGCCAAGGGGTTAACGACCCTCCATCTTTCTCATTGATCAGAAACTCTCCTTTCTTCTGCAGCTGGCTGTGTTACCCATTCCTGGCCTAGTCTCTGCTATTTCACAGCCCCGCGGGCTGCTTTAACTCTAGCGGCAAACCTTAACTCAGGTGCGGTCGTATTAGAAACAACCGACAGTGAAGTACTGGGGGCTGCCGAGACACTCGGGCTGAATAAGAGATGTATGTTTAACAATAACGACTGTAGGACTAATGACACAGCACCCTTGGACTACGTTTGCCTAGTTGGTTATGGGTTTTCTTTTAAACGTTATGTATAACTTAGTAAATGAGTGCATGTTCCCAGAGTTAAACTGAACAATCTCATGCCGGCCCCCGGGCACGCGAGTAACGTTAGCTGAACTGGAGAAAGGTGTGCTGCGTTGCATGGGAGGAGGCACCGTGCCATTTGCACCCCCTTTTCACAATCCTAGACCCACCCATGCAGCCAGGTATGCTCGCAGGTATGCTCTGTGCCCCTGTCCCTTGGGGCGTGGGTTGGAGGGGCGCCCCGGGCAGGGCCGTGGCTGGCCGGGTGCGCCGGTGCACGCCGGGGCTGTACCGTGGTGCGGATGTTCTTGGCACGGTCGGCGTAGGTGAGGGTGCTGCGCGACTCCTCAAAGGCGGTGCTGGCCGGGCTGATGTGCGCGATCATCACCGTGCGGCTGTTGCCCCCCAGCGAGTCCTGGCGAGGGAGAGGACGGGGGAGTCCATGGGCCACCTCCCCACCCCGGGCACCGCGGGTCAGAGGGACCTGCCCGCTTCCCAGCGTGGGGCTTCCCAGCTCATGAGGCCCCTGTGCCGTACCTTGAGCAGGCGGGTGAGCTTGCTGTCGCGGTAGTTGACGTACTTGGCGCCCGCCCTGTCGCTCAGGGCGTTGATGCAGTTGCCCAGCGCCAGCAGCGAGCGGTTGATGTGGGCGCCCTCCTTCATCCGCTGCCCCCGGTTCTGCGTCTGCGGGGGCGGCGGGGACCACGTGAGGCACCCCCTGCCCCATGCCCCTGCCCCTGCCTCAGGATCGACCTTGGCCCCTCCTTTTGCAGTGCCACGGGGCAGCTGGCCTGGCCCCCCATGCAGCGCCGAGACCCCGGGGCACGGGTCCCGTACCTGCGAGGCCCTCTCGGAGCCGGCCAGGTCGATCATGAAGAGGCGGCCGAGGCGGATCTCCTGCAGCACGTTGCGGACGCGGCTCTTCTGGCGGACGGTGACCTGCAGCACGGCGTGGGAGCGTGACGAGGTGAGGTTGGCAGCCGTGGGCTCCTGTGTCCGCTGCTTATTGCCCTTCGTCAGCAGCTGCATGACCTGCGGGTGGCCAAGGGGGCACGTCAGCTTTGCATGCCCGTCCCCACCGTGCCCGGCACCGGGGGCTTGGCTGTTATGGTGCCACCTATAAGACCCAGCAGGATGGTGATGGAGACCACGGGAGGTGACACCGGGACCTGCTAGGGCCGTGCCGTGCCATGCCCACCTCCTTGGCGTTGATGGTGGAGACCTCAGTGATGCCGGCCACCTGGATGATGCCCTTGGAGTCCTCCCGCAGGTCCAGGTAGCCCAGCGCCGGGTTCAGCAGGTCCCGGATCATCTCGTTGTAGATCTGCCGGGGCAGGAAGGGGCGAGGAGTCAGGGGGGTGCAGAGAGCTGCCCTCCGCGCTGGCAGCTACCTGGGACCAGCTGGCATGGGGAGCACAGCCGCAGTACCCCTAAACCACGCACTGCCCTGCCTCTCCCAGGCGCTGGTAGCCCCGATGCTTGGGGGGACCCACGGGCACGACCAGGTGGGTTCTCCCGCCCATCCCAGTGGTTGCCCGGCTCCGCCACCTCCTCCCCGTGCTGCCTGCCTGTGTCAATACTGCAAAGCAGAGTCCCCGTGTTGCCAGGCGACTCTCCAGCCGACCGAACCCAGGCGTCCGGGGGCCAAGTCCAAGCTCTTTGCATGGCCGCCCGGCATGTGCGTGCTCCGCGTGTGCCCCCATATGCTTCAGGCTGGGGGGGATTTGCTTTGCCGGTGCCCCTCACTCCTGACCCGCAGCCCCCAGATGGAGGTTCCTGTAGGACCTACTCTATTTTGTGCTCGGCTGCTGCCTCCATCCAAGGAAAGGAGCCAGGAGCTATGTCCACCCCGTGCCTTGCCTGGGCTGCTGGGTTAGGCACCCCTCTACCCCGTTCCTGCTGCCCCGGGCCCTACCTCGAGGTAGGACATGGAGACCTCGTACTCCATGTCATCACTGGTCTCTTCGATGGCGCGAAACAGGTCGTTGAGGGTGCGCACGTAGATGCCCGGCTCCTGGTCCGTGCCCAGCATCGTGTACGTCTTCCCGCAGCCTGGCGGGCAGGGCAGGGCAGGGAGTCAGGCCCCCGCGGGGCACCAGGGTGGGCGCAGGGTGAGACCCCCTGGCCGTGGCTGCTCAGCTCTTACCGGTGGGGCCGTAGGCAAAGACAGTGGCGTTGTAGCCGGAGATGACGCCCTCGATGAGGCCTTTGGTGGTGGCGCGATACACAACCTCCTGAGGGTGGGAGATTGGGGTGGGGGCAGCGTATTGCTTTCTGCCCCCCGCTCGTCCCCCTCCTCCCAGGCCTGGGAGCCCAGGCTGGGACCTGCTGGGCACAGCATGCACCCGCAGCCCAGGGGTGCTGGGGGGAATCTCCCCTGGTGGGGAGCAGCATGGGGCTGCTGACACACGGCTGGGCAGTCCTTCCTGGAGCACCTAGGGCAGACGCAGCTCCCCAGAGCTGGTTGCATTTGCTGAAAAGGGAAGTCTCTGTCTCCTGGGGCTTTGCGGGACAAGACAGGCCGGTGGGGGGAGCGGAGAAGCCGCTGGGGCGTGGGCCGGGGGGGCAGCTACTTTGGTTTCACTTAGCATGAAACGGAGCTGCTGACATCGGAGCCGGGCTGGCCCAGCCTCCCCCCTCTCCCGGGGCACCAGCTGCTGCACGCAGATGGCAGATGGCGCGGCCAGGCCCGGGGGATGCCGCCCACTCCGTGCTCACCTGGGTGGCCGTGAAGTCGAAAGCCACGTCAAAGACATAGGACTTCTCGCGGGAGCGGTTGGCGCGCAGGATGTCGTCGGGGTCTTCCATGGGGTCCATCAGCACCACCACCTGCGGGTGGGCGGGCACGTGGGTCGAGGCATCTCCTGCCACCCTGGGGGCACCAGCCAGGCCTGCGCAGGCAGCTCAGCCCAGCCGGTCTGGCTCGCTTCAGCCCCTTTGGCCCTCTCACCTGGGGATCGTACCCACTCCTCCATGATGAGCCGGGAGCCTGGCAGCGAGGGGCCCCCAGGCGAGAGGGCAGAGCTGGGCCCCTGGGCCCTCGACCTCTTGCCCCCACAAAGAAACCCTCCCAGCTGCAGCCGGGCTGGTGCCACCTCGGGCGCCGCGGGCTGGGGATCGGGTTCCTGGCGAATGAGCGGAGAGGAGCCCGGCTTGGGTTTCAGAGCCGGGAGGGAACAAAGCCGGCGCCAGTGCCCTGGATGCAGCCCAGCGCCACATCAGGGGTGCAGCTAGGGAGGCAGGCTCGGGGTCTACCCCCACTCTGGACACCCCGGCGGCCAGTGCCCCACCACAGGGTGGACAGCCTGGGGCTGGCGCGGGAACTGAGACCTCCTCCTACACCTTGCAATGCACCCGCAGCTCCTCCACCCCAAGTCGCGCCCCAGCCGTCCTGCTGCAGGGAGTCCCGGAGGTTAACGCATGCTGGCCCCCAGCCTGGCAGCCCTGGGGCGAAGGAGTGGGTGCACAAAGGGCTCCCTGTCCCCATCCCGGGAGGGTCGCCAAGGCAGCGGCGAGATGGCTGCTAGAGATACAGGCCTTGCGCGCCTGACTCAGTTTCCCCTTGGTGGGGATGGGGTGCTGGGAGCCTGCTGGAGGGGGCTGGACCTGTGGACCGGAGGTGAGCTAAGCAGGGCCCCCCGTGCTGATGGGGAGGTGCAGGGCTGAGGACACGCGGCTGTGCCGGCTGCCGTGCCCAGGTGCCTCGGCTGCCCAGGTGCGTGGGGGGGAGCGGGTCTCTCATTGTGCTCCTGAATCGGGACATTGTTCCCTGGCTGGGATTAACGAGGCCTTTGTGCTCCGTGCCAAGGGAGCCGGACCATCCTTCCCCCGCCTGCTGCAAAAGCTGCCCAGATGCCCAGAAGCTGGGGGCGCCTGGGCTGGGCATGCCCTCCCCTCCTTTCTCTCCTCGCTGGTGCCCGTCATGGTGGCGTCAAGGCTTGGGCACCCCATCGGTGCTCCCCCATGGTGCCGGCAGAGCCTGGAGGGGCTAAGGGAGGTGACCGAGGCCCCCTGGGTTGCCGGTGGCAGAGCCAGCCCCTGCTTGTTGGAGCCAGGCACCCGGAGCAGTGCGGGGAAGTCGAGGCAGGACGGGCAGAACCTCATTGTGGTGGAGGGGAGGCAGAGTTGACCCCCTGGCACTGGAGGGGGAGGTCGGTTTTGCAGCTGAGCCAGTGCTGACATCCGCTGACCGCCCCCCGGCCTGCGCGCAGCCCTTGCCATGGCAACGAGGTGCTCCGAGAAACCACACCAGTGCGCTGTGGCGATAGCATTGTCCTGCAGGCCGCAGCACTGGGGGCACGGCCCCCCCAGGAGCTGGGCAGGACGGGTACAGCTGGATGCACCGATCCTGTCTGGGCTGCAGCTGGTCCCCCTGCACCCCGGAGACCCTAGCCTCCCACTCCAGGGTAGAGGCGACACCCCCTGCCCAGGATCCTGGCTCCAGGATCAGGGCCCCTGCTTTGGGCCTGACCCAGCTGAGGGATGCCAGGTCAGGCCCAAAGCAGAGGCCCCGATCCTGGAGCCGCAGCCTTGGCACTGGGAGCCCCAGCGAGTCTCTAGGCCTCGTGCTTGGAAGGAAATGCCAGGAAAGGGGAGGGCAGGGTGCAGCCCCTGCCCCTTGCTGCACCCCTGGAGCCAGGCACCCATCTGGGCACCTCCATCCCGTGCCCCTGGATGCCTCCCATCCCCACTGGGTCTTGGAGGGGGGCCCTACCTGCTCGTCCACCCGGTGTGCGATAAGCGTGGCGCCCTCCTCCAGCTCGGCCATGCTGATCGGCCGGATCCGTAGGGCTACCTGGAAGACAGCGGGGACCAGCGGGGAGCCTCGGGGGGCACCGGAGCCGCATACTGCGGTGGGCATCGCGCGCACATCGGGCTGCCCCATGCCCCACCTGCGGGGTCCCTGGCGTAGCAGGCATAGCCCTGGCACACTTGCCTCGTGGCTCTCCCCAGGCTACGGCTAGCTCGTGACCCCTGTGCCCGTGCACCGCAGAGACAGGCTTCAGCCAGCAAAGTGCCAGGCTGAGACATCAGGCGTGAGTGTGACCTGCGGGCCCCGGGGACGCCTCGCAAATAGAAACTTTCCTGGCACCTGCGGGCACCCTGGGGAGCAAGCTGGGCCCAGCTCAGCGGCAGGAGGCCAGCCGCAGCACTCCCCCAGTGTGCGGACGTGCCCTCCGTGATGCACGGGTGTGCGGCGGGACCTGGGGCCGTGCAGAGCCCAGTTTCCCTGTTGCCACGAGCAGAGGAGTCCCAGGGGCGACTGGGCCTGGGCCCGGGGGGTCTGCCGCAGCTCGGGGGTGAAACAGGCAGGAAGCGAGAGAAGGACTTTGTGCGTTGCATGCATGCGTGCAGGCCAGGGTGCGCTGTTACACTCATGCACATGCACAAGTGCACGGTTACACACAGGTCGTACAAATCATGCAAGCCACACACACACACACACACACACACACACACACACACACACACACACACACTATATAGTACACAGTTACACACAGACACACTAGTTACACATGCACTATGTAGTACACAGTTACACACACACTTTAGTTACATACGCACTATACTATACAGTTATACACACATACACTGCAGTACAGTTACTCACACACTAGTCCAGTTCAACACACACATAGTTGTACATGCACTATGCAGTACATGGTTACACACACACTATAGTTATATACACATGGTACACTACAAACACACTGCAGTACAGTTACACACTATAGTTACATACACACTACAGTAGTTACATATGCATTATACAGTACACAATTACACACATGCTATACACTTGTTACACACGCACTCTACAGTTACGAACACACACTATAGTTACACATGCACTATACAGTAGTTACGCAAACGCTGTACCGTAGTTACACACTGTACAGTTACATGAATGCTGTACAGTTACACACACTACACTGAACACAGTTACACACATTACACTGTGCATACAGTTCCCCTTGCCCACCATGTACAGTTACACATATGCACTACGCTGTACATACAGATACACATGCTATATTGTGCATACAGTACACACACAGTTACGCCTGCACACTTCTCGGTGCACGCATGGCTCTGTTCACCATACAACTACGCAGGCACAGCCACCTCTGCCCCGCTCACCTGCTCCCCCCACCCCCATTTTGACAGACAAAGCCGCTATCAGCAGAGCCCCCAGACCCTGGGGATGAGGGCATGGGTCATTAGGCACTAGGGAAGCCGGCAGGGGCTGGCCCTGATGGAGCCCCCTGGTGCCAGGGACTTGGGCACCTCTGAGCCCAGTGCAGACAGGGCTGGGGCAGCTCCCATCTGGTGCTTAGCAATCAGGGAGCAAAGTCCCTGCTGGGAAGGGGGCTGCTCTGCTCTCCGGTCCCCGCATGTGCCAGCCTGCCCTGGCAGCGCCTGCCCGCACCCCTGACGGCCCTGCCGAGGCCGGACTCACAGTGAGCTGCTGGTCCTTGGAGTCCCCTGTGTCCTTCATGGTCCGGCCGGCGCTGTGTGGTCTAGTGGGGACGGGCGGTCGATGCCACCTGCATGGCTCTGCCAGGCTGCGCCCGTCCTGGCATCAGCTGTTTCCCAAACACCCTGGATGCACTTGAGCCCTGCCCAAAGCAGGCTCTTGGCCTGCCAGCTGCCCCCCATCCGTGGGCATGGGGCCGTGCCTGCTTCCTGCGCCCCACAGGGCTAGCAGAGTCAGCAGGAAGCGGGGGGAGGCATTGCCCCCCGGCACTGCCCTCCCCGGGCCCGAGGCTGGTAAGCAAACGAGCCTGTCTCTGCCTTGCTGCCGCCTGTCCCAGCTGCCAGTCCCCTGGAGATCCTCAAACTGTACACAACAACCGGCGGGCAGCCGGCTCCTGGTGATACAACCGCTCCGTGGGTGTGTGTATGTGTGTGCCAGGGCTCAGCCGCCCTCTCCCGGCCTCCGGCGCATTGTTCTCTGCTGGGCAGGCGGGTGCGGGAAGGCCGGGGAGAGGGGGGCTGATGGGGAGGGGAGCTGCTCTGTAGCAGGTGGAGTGGGAGAGCGTGTGCGTACGCATGTGCAGCAGGTGTGTCTGCGTATGTATGCATGTGTGTTCATACAGGAGGAGCATCTGCATGGGTAGCAAATGAGGCAGCATATGTGTGTCTTGTGTAGGTGTGCGCGCATGTGCATGCATCAGGAACACGTGTGTGTATGTGTGCACCAGGGGTGTTGGCATGTGCCTGTGCAGGAGGCACTGCATATGTATGTAGCGTGTCTGTGTGTGTGTCTACATGTGTCCATATTCAGCAGGTGTGTCAGTATGTGCCTGCATGTGCAGCGGCCACATGTGCATACAACAGGATTGTGCATATGTGCCTACATGTTCAGCAGGCATGTGGATACGTGCCTATGTGTGCATGTGCAGCAGGTCTGTCTGTGCATGCAACAGGTATGTGGCTATGTGCCTGCATGTGTACATGTGCAGCAGGCATGTAGGTATGTGCCTAAGTGTATGTGTGCAGCACATATGTCTGTGTGTCTAGCAAGTATGTATGTGCTTATGTGAAGCAGGTGTATGTGGACATGCCTGCATGTGCATGTGTGCAGCAGGCATGTGTGCATGCAGGTGTGGTGTGCCTATCTGCCTATGTGTGCAGCAGGCATGTGGGTACTAGCCTATGTGTATGCATGTGCAGCAGGTGTGTGTATGTGCCTATGTGTGCCTGTGCAGCAGGCACATGTGTGCAGCTGGGCCTGGCTGCCCACCCCCCTCCTGCCCCTGCCCAGACCTTGAGCCCTGGCATGTGCTCCTGCCCCCTTGGTGCCCAGGGATTCCCCTGGCAGGGAGGTCCCTAGGTGGGTCCATGTGCCCCCCCAACTGCTACTCACCCTCGCACTGCGAGGCAGGGGGGGCACAGCCCCGCTCCGCCTGCCATTGCCTGCCAGGCTCTTCGTGCACGGTGCTTCCCGCAGAAGCCCCCCATGCCGAGGCAGGTGCAGAATCCGGCCATGCATCACAGCATAAACCCCCCGCTCACCAGGGGAGACTCAGTGACCCCAGTGCTGGCTGCAGGGAGGCAGTGGCTGGGACCCCAGCCTCAGCCTGGGCAAGGGGGCTGCTAGTGTGCCCATGTTGCTCTGACCAGCGCCAGGCACCTGGTGCTCAGCTGTGCCATGGGTCACCTGGCAAACTACCCTGTGTGCTCAGTGCTGGGCATGTGCAGGGGGCACCGTGGGGTGGACCCTAGGGCTCACAGCCCCTATTGCATGGGCACCCAGAGCAGCATCTCAGCAGCCTTGGGAGCTCTCTGGAGCAAAGGAGAGGGGTGCTTGGCCCTGTCTCCCTCCAAACACTGAACGGGATGAGAGCGGGGAGGGATGCAGGAGGTGGGGGGAAGCCCCCCAGGAGATGCCTAGCGGGGTTTGGTCCCAACAGGAAGGCTCCAGATGGTTTAGCACTGCTCACCTGTCGCGCCCAGCCCTCCCCGCAGCAGAGCTGTGTGGGGCTGCCACCAGGCTATCAGTGCCATTAATAATTCACCTGCCGTGAGCAGCCGGGCGCACTGCTGGCGATAAGGGCCCCGGATGCATTTACACAGCTGAGAACTGGCAGATAAGAAGGGGCTGCAGCCATCCTAAAAGCAAGCTGGGGGGTGGGAGCTGGAGTCCCCTCTGCAGGCACGGGCAGGGCATTCAGTGCCCCCCTTGGAGCTCCCCAGCGCATGCCTGGGTTCGACAGGAGCTGCAGGAGGTGGCAAGGGCACAGGCAGGCAGGGCAGAGCAGGACTCCAGGTCTCAGCCAGCAGCAGGTCCCCGGCCTCTGCTTCCAGCCAGATGCATGGATCCCAGGAGCCGGTGGAAACCCGAGCGCCCATGGGACCAGAGCAGCGACATGGGGTCAGGCACAGCCCTGTTTATTATTTCCATCTGTTGCACGAAGAAGGGGGCAGCCTTGGTGCCCACATGTGGCCTGCGGGTCCCTGCGCTCCATGTTCAGTCCTGTGGAGAGAGAGCAGGAGTCAGGGCAGGAGGGGGCGCGGGGCCCTGCCCTCCCCCAGACCCGGGGGACTGGGCAGCACATGGGACCTCAGTGCCCCTCCCCAAGGCCCCCATGCAGTGGTTGCTTGGGGAGCGAGCATTTTTTCCACAGGGGAAGGTACTGGGAACCAAGAGCTGGATGCAGACCGCCGACCCCAAGCCAGCACAGACCCTACCAGGCCCTTCTACCCTGCAATGCCAGGGCCAGGGCTGGGGCTCTAATACAGTCCCCTCTCCTGGGGGGTGAATGAGTCCTCAGGCTGTGGCATGGACGACCCTCGCCTCTACTGCGCTGTGAGGGTCATGTGGGAACATAGGAGTGAGAAGCCAGGGAATGGGGACACTGAGATCCCCCTTGCCCCTGGGGGCCAGGCGGGGTCAGGGGTGCTCTCCGTGCCAGCCGGAGGGTCCCCTCACCTTGTAGAGGTCCTCCTTGCCCTCCTCCTCTTCGTCTTCCTCCTGAAAAAGGACAGGGAGAGAGTCACAGCCCAGCTCCCTGGGACACAAAGACGCTCGCCCCTCTGCATGGCTTGTGCCTGAGGTGGGCTCCAAGGCACGGCGGCCTTGGCTGTGACGAGGGCATCGGAGAGCGGAGCTGCTCCCAGACTCTAGTGCCCATGGGGTGCCTGGGGGCACAGGCTGAGGGGTGTCAGTGAGGCTGGGACTGCCCTGCTGGGAGCAGAGGGGCTTTCTGCAGAGCAGCCCCAGCACTGCAGTCCTGCACCTGTGGCCCTGGGAAACCTGGTGGGGCTCATCCAGCCAGGGTGCGGCTGGCTCTCCTGGGCATCATCTCCAGGGGGGAAGAAGGACCCCACTACTCCAAGCAACCCCCTCAGAGAGGACAGGAGAGTACCGCGTCGCTGGGGCTGATGGAGCATGATGGCTTTACACAGCTGGTCTCAGCTCCCAGGGGCATGGGTGGGCAGCACAGACCCCAGCCCATGCCAGTCAATCACCAGGGGAACCAGGGTGGAGGGGTATGACCCTAAGAGAGGGCAAAGGGGGCCCAGCAGCCTGGTGCTACCTGGGTGGTGGGTCCCTTGGCGCTGCCCTGCTCCCTCCGCCGGCGCTCGGCGTCGATGATCTCGAAGAATTCCTTCTGCACCCGGGCCAGCAGCTCCTCGGGGTTCTCGGATGGCCCATCCTCCTTGGCCTCCTCCTCCCTGCCCTCCGACCTGGTGCGCTCCTTCAATCGCATCTCGCGGTGCCGCGCCTCCAGGATCTTCTCCCGCTTTGTCTCCCGCTCGAACATCTGGGCAGCACAGAGGTGGGGCTCAGATGCCCAGGCCCTGAGCAAGGGCACCCCAAGGTAGAGCGCCCTGGAGATCCAGGCATGCAGCCCTACACAGCCAGGGTGGCTTGGTGCTAGCTATGCCCCCAAAACCCCTCGCCATGGAGCTGTCTGCTTTGCATCCATGTGGTTTGCAAATGGCTCAAAGGGGGCAACCGGGGTGCGTGGACGCGGCCTGGTGTCCAGCAGGCTTCTACAGACAAACCCTCCAAGGGTGGCATGGAGCCATAGCCCCACCCCGGCTGGCTGTGCCCCTCCACATGCCAGGCACTCACGGCGGTGGCCAGGGTCTTCTCGTTCTTCTGCAGGGTGCAAAACCCCGAGGAGATCTCCAGCAGCGTGACGGTGCCCAGCTGGGAGCCGCAGCTGATGAAGCGCCCGTTGTCCTGCAGGCGCAGGCTGAAGAGGGGCTCGTCGCAGACCTGGGGACGGGGGAAGCTCACTGGCTGGATGCTCACACCAGGCCTGCCCAGCTCTCGGGGCAGCTGCCGTGCTGCGAGGAGCCGGCCCAGTCCCTACGTCTCATATGGAGATAAGTCCTGGCAGTGGCTGTGTTTAAGGCACCAGCCCTGCACCCCCAGAGCTGTGTGGTGCCCTGAGGTGGTGGTGATGGGCGTGCGAGGGGCTGGGGGCCCTGCTTCCTCCCTGACCCGTGTGGCTCGCCCCAGACACCCCTACCCGGGCAGGATGGAGCACGATAGCTTGGTGGGGAAACCGCATGAAGGGGCTGTGGCCTACCTTAAGGCTGAGAGAGGGGTCATTTTGCTTGAACAAGAAGTCCCAGACATCCAGCGTCCCATCCATCTTGGTGGTGAAGAAGACAGCTGGGCGGATGGTGCTCCAGCACCCACTTGTTAGGTAGGACATGTGGTACCTGCCGGCAGACCCGCCATGGCTCAGGAGAGCGCTTCTGCGCCGTGCCCCCGGGGCTTGAGACCCCGGGCTGAAGGCACGACAGGCAGGAAGACTTTGTGCTCACCAGGGTTGAGGCCAAGGGTGTCAAGAGGGGGGTTGCATGGGAGCAGCAAGGTGCCAGCAACACAGTCTCGGGCTTTTAAAGCAGCCCTGGGTCTCAGAGGCCTTTGGGGCTGCTGGGCGATGCAGGCTGCCTCTCATCACCAGACTATGAAGGGCAATGCTGAGGAAGTCTACAGGGGATACCTGGCTCCTGTGATGCCCGAAGGCAAAGGGACCCTGTGATTCTCCCTCCCTGCAGGGCTTGTAACCCCCCAGCAAGAGCACACGCCCCACTGCCTACTTGGTCCACATGATGGAGGATTCCCGGCTGTCCTCGGACCAGATGCGCGCGGTCCAGTCGCCGACAGTCAGGAAGTTCTTGGGGTAGAAGGGGTTCCGCGCCAGGGCGTAGACGGGGCCATGGTGCCCGCTGTAGGTGCCGACGATCTTCTCGGCCGGTGTCTTGGCCTTGCGGTTGCAGGTGATCACCACACCTTGCTCCGTCCCCACCATGAACTTGGTTGGCTGCGGCGAGGGAGAGTGCGGTGGTTACGGGGCTGTTCGAGGGGCATGGGAACAGCTCGCGGAGGGTGGTTAGAAGCAGAGAGGCCCACTCCCTTTTAGCTGCACGCGGGGCAGGCCTGGCACTGAGCAGCTTCTGCACGAGTTCTGCATACAAACTTCCTGCCCAGGCACGGGGAGGACAGAGCGCTGAGAGCTGCTGGGGGCCCTGGGTGGCTGGCGAGAAAAAGTGTCTAGGAACCAAACCAACCTCCGCTTCCTGGGGGCTGGGGATCAGCTGGGCTGGCCCAGAACAGCATCTCCCTGCCATGCTTCCAGGGCCTGAGAGCAAGGGTACACCAGCCTTGCCCTGCAGAGCCGTGCCCAGGAGCAGCACTGCACTCTGCCGGGGCTACTGCTGCATCCACTGGCCAGTGCCACATGAGCCTGCGCTCCCAGCCTTGCTTGGTTTTGCTGTGGGAGGGGTCCGTATTGCCCTCTTTGCAAGCTCTGCACATTGCAGACCTCCCAGGAGCCCTCAGAGTTCTCCCAGCCTGCTCAGCTGGGAAACAAGAATCACACATCGTTATCATTGCAGGTGGCTCAGAGACCCTCTGCCAGAGTGCATGGAAACAAATATATCCCCAGCTCGTTAGCGTTGGGTCTTGAGTGCCAGGTCCTAGCAGGAAATTGCCTCTGTGTATATGTGTGTGTAGACTGTGGCCCACTTCCTTTGAGGTGCCCTGTGGGAGGGTCTGGGCATGCACTCATGGTGCAGCCTCCCCTCCTGGCACCCTGGCTCAATCCAGGAAGCCCCTGAGTCTGAGCTCAGGCAGCAGTTTGAGGGCTACGGACACACATGGGAAACACCCTGGCTGCCTGGTGTCCTTCCCCTGTTTTGGCCTGCCTACCATTCATGCCAGGCCCCAAAGGATCCCTCCACATGGTAACTCTCCCCCCTGGTCTCGTACAAGCGCTCCAGGCCCCATCTGCCCCAGATGCTTGGGTTCTCCCGAGGGCAGCAGCTGCAGCGCAGCCTGCATGTGGGGAGAGGCACTCACCATGGTGGGCTCAAACTCCAGCGAGACGGCACCCAGGGCATTCTCCAGCAGGCCCTTCCGGCTGATATCCATCACCAGCGTCTCAGTGGGCTCGGTGAGCTTCCGGATGTCCCACCACAGGACCTGGCAGGGGTGGGAGACACCAGAGTGGGCACTCTTCTTACCTGGGATGTGGGTGCACTTGCTGTGCAGGGTGCGGCTGGACTAGACCCATCACGAGGGAATCAGCTGGGACACAGGCAGACCCCTGCCCAGCCGGGGGGTCTGGCAGGGTACGCCAAGTGTCTGGCTCTGAGCCGAGTGCAACAAGGCTGCATGCTGGCCTGTCCCACCCCAGCTCCCCTAGCCCAAGACTAGCAGCGAGGTCATGTCAGGCATGGTGATGTCACAGTGCCGGCAACGGGTGGATGTCCCCAGCCGGCCTTTTACCTGCCCATCGGTGGAGGCAGAGAAGCAGTCGGTGCCCGTCTTGGACTGCAGCCAGATTGCGCCGTACACGGGGTCCCGGTGGCTGAACTCCACTGTGGACAGCTCCACGGGCTGCCCGCCTTTCCGCGTGTCCCAGTAGGCTGCAAAGGGATGGGGACTCTTGGGGCAGGCTCTGGAGGGCTACTGCCTCCCTGCCCTGCTCCGTGGCTTGTAGCTCCCTGGAAGAAGCTAGTGAATGTCCCGCTCTTGTTTTGGCACCTCTGAGCTCCCGAGAGTCATGATTCCCTGCCACATTTCACCATGGCAGCCTGGCTGCTACTTGTACCAGCGCCCTTCACAACTGAGACCAAGCAACCTGGGATGGGAAAGCTGCCACCCCTTTGTATCCCAGACCACCAGAGGCTGCAGAGCTCAACCAGAGCCTGCAGCATCAGGGCAGGACACGTTGGGGCTGTCTTTGTTTCAGCAAAGACAAGGAAGCCAGGCTGATTCTCCCTGGACGCTGAAGCGAGTGCGAGCCCTCCCTCGCTCATGTCTAATTAGGCAATTGGCTGTGATGGCTCTGGGTGCCTGCCAGAGCACAGGGAAGGACAAGCTGAAATCATCTCTTCCCTCCACTGTGGAGCACTGGCCTACAGTGTGTGTCCCAGCAGAGCTGGGCAACGAAACATAGACCCCATTTCATTACAGCCAGAGGCTCATGTGGCTCAGTGAGTTGGGGAACCTGAACGGGAGCTGGCAGAGCAGGTCCTGCAAAATGGTCAGCCCCACAGAGCTGAAACCACCTGGCAAATGAAATGGCAGCAATTATCCCTGCTCTCTAGACACCGCCACACTTTCTACAGTGAGTAACAAAGGGAACACGACACGCCGGCTGCCATCTGATACACCCAGGTGTGCACAGGGCTGTGGACGAGTGCTGGGTCTGTTTGCAAACCCAGGGGCAGCTCTGGATATGTCCTGAGGGAGGAACGTTTTTTGGGGGCGATGGAAAACACAGGGCAGATTCAGCCCAGGCAGCATCTCCAGAAGGCAAGGGAAGACGCTGGCTGACACAAGTGACGGTGACATGTGCTGGGGGCAGTCCCGTTTGTCCTGTCCATGTCACATGCATGCTCCACCGTGCTGAGCCCTGCTTTGCTCATGCGTGGGACACATCAAGGGGGCTGAGTGGTGCTGGCACTGCTACAACGAGTGCCTGGTTGTGCATCTTGCCCACCTTCTTACCAATTTGCCCGTTGTAGCAGCCTCCGACCAGGATGTGTGAGTCCTTGGGGTTGTACTCCAGGCACACGAGTGGGGACGAGGGCTTGAGAACCAGGTCCGGTTTGTTGGGGCTTTCTACGGGGAAGAAAGAAAAAGAGAAGGTGACATCTGAATGAGGCCTGGGAGGGAAGCAAAGGCAGCAGCCAGCGATGATCAGGGGCGACATCTGCCCAGTTTCCGGCCCCAGAGTCTGTGCTACAACAGGCCAGGGGCCTGCACGCCCCACCTGCCCCAGTGTCATGCTACATTGCATCCAGCTCAAACCACTTGACATACCAAGCTGAAGTGCCCTGGCCTCAGAGATGTGCTTGAAAGGACATGTGTTGGCACAGCTCTGCTGCACTGAATGGTTGCTTTCTGCCTCTGCCGACAGAGCTTTTCTATGCTGGGGACTCGGGGCTGCAGAGGTGAGTGGGCATGGAAAGAGGCAGCTCACTTCTGCAGGGCAAAGGCTGTGCCATGCTGCCGGAGGAGAGCATGGGATGGCAGCAAGGATGGTGTTAATGTGGAAGTTCCTGCTGTCCCCGTCTCTCCTGCACTCTCCTGTTTTTCAGTCCTAAATACAATACACCTGGAAGAGTCCTCAGCTGCAAGAGCAGCCAGAGGAGAGCAACAGAAACAGTCAGAGCTCTCCAAAGCCCACAGAAAGGCTGGGAGAAGTGAAGAAGAGGGGCTGGAGAACAGGTTGCAGCCTAAGCAGGCCTGCTGTGAGCCCATGCATGCAGCAGGCTCAAGCTGCAACAAAGGGGAGTCAGGCTGGGAATGAGGAAGGACCTTGCAATGACAGGGGATTTGGTGCTTCAGCAGGGGGCCGTGAGGAACCAGCACCTCCATTGCTGGAGGACTGAAAGGTGGGCTTGTGTCTGGGCTTGTTAGACAGGCCTGTAACTGCCTTGAGCAGGTGCAGGAGCAGCCCAGTGCTTCCAACTGAGGCCTTGCAGTGCTTCCAAACACCCAGCAGACAAACCCCTTGGACAGCCCAATGCGTTGGAAAGGCGCAGCCAGGCTCGGCGGGAAAGCTTCATGTGCCACTGGCAGGAGCTTTGTCTGGGGATGCCCATGCTGGGATTTCACTGCTTCTTCTCCGCTCTTGGCTCCATTTCCCCCTTTGTCTCATGCTCTCTGACTCAAGCAGGATACGTGCTGCTCTTCAGGAGCATTGGGAGGGTGAGCTGTCATCTGCTGGAGGATGCCAGGGACGAGTGCTGCCAGCTGTGCCCTCCTTACCCAGGTCCCAGATGTAGGAGTCGAGGCTCATGTTTGTGGCGCTCTGCTGGAACTCCAGGCAGGAGTAAGCCACGGCCAATTTCTTGCCGGCGTCAGGGTGCCACGAGAGGTGGGTGGCCGTCCTCTTGATGCCATTGGGGTCCCTTTGTGGGAGGGACACAAAGACGGCGACTTGTTAATTGCTCTGCCGTGCCTGGGGCTGCAGCAGCTCTCCCACAGGAAGCACCAGGAGCCCAAAATACACCAGACTGGAGCCCCAGGAGGACCGATTGCAGGAAAGAAACCCCCTCTGGGCTGGGCTGAATGGGGGAAGGGCCGATGAGCTAATCAGTCCTTCCAGTTACACATTTCAAAGAATCCAATTACGTTACCGAGCAGCCCTGACATTTCCCATCCTCCTGCCCCACTAATGGAAAAGGAGTCCTCAGAGGCGTGAGGGATGAATGGTACCGTATTTTCTTACATACAATGCACCTCCAAACACCAGCTGAGGGAAACTGGAGGGTGAATATATGCAAAGGATACGGTAAGAGCCGTTTCTGCCACCACCCAGAGGGAGAAAAGCAATGAGCTCTGCTCCCTAGCTGCTAACACTACGTTACAAGGAATGATCTTGCTCCCCACTTCACGCTGCCTTTCAAAAGCAAGGTGCAGGGCATATTCTGGGGTGCACTGTATGCAAAAAGCGACGGTCTCACAATGCACCAAGCCCCAGCATGTGGGAGCACTGTGAGAAGCCCCCAGCCACTTACCTGAAGACATTGATGGTTTTGGCTGAGGGCGGCTCATCCTCCACCTCTGAAAGCTGCTCCTCTTCGAAGTACTCTTCATAGATGTTGATGGCGTTGTTCTGCTTGATGCAGTGCTCCATCAGCTGCGAGGGAAGTGACGGAAAGCGGCTGCGAGATGGTGCCTGGGAAGGCTCTGGAGAGCGGGACGGGACTGGGGAGAGGGGGCCGGGGCCTTACGCTGCCCAGGTGGATGATGGTGTTGATGTAGTTCTCGTCCTTCTCCACCTTCTTGCGGAAGCGAATGGTCTGCTCCATCTCCAGCGCGTTCACGTCCTTGGGCCAGCCGCCCTCTACATGGTTCACGCCCCGCGCTTCCATCTCGAACCGCTCTGTGTTCACCTGAAGCGTCGCATGGACAGAGACACGGGTCAAGGGCTGAGGTCTTCCAGACCCGGCGGGTCTGGTGGTTACTTCATTGACGATCCCAGGCCCTGCACAGTTTCTAGGGGATGCCTGGTGACCCTCACTCTGCAGAGGCATGCTCCCCTTGGCAATCCCAGCAGCTGTGCCATTGCAAACCGGCCCAGCTGGCCCTAGCCAGTGTGGATCCAGGGGGGATGTAGTGGTGCCATCACCTCGCCTTGGTTCCTGCTCCATCCAAAGCTTAAAACAACCTGGCCAGCAGCTGCAGTGGCATTTCTATGCAGGCAGCAGCGAGGTGTCACCTGACTTCATGGCTCACAATCATCTACCTGATCCCTTTTAACCCCTTCTCTCCATGGGTGTGAATGACCCTCTGTCCTTTCTTAATGGTCTTCACACTCCACTAATCAAGCTACTCTTTCTTCTGCCATTCAGCTGTCTGTTGGCTGCTCCCGGTAACACAGCTCCTCTCTCACAGCCCTGCGGACTGCTCTTAACTCTAGCTAAAATATTAACTTTCAGAAAAGTGCAGCGGGTGGCTTTCATAAAACCATGGAAATAGCTTTCAGGGAAGCAGTGAAGATGCTCAAGAAGGCTTGGTCTTGTTTAATGCAGCTGAAAGATGAACACTTCATGTGAAGGACTGTGCGACCCAAGAAACAGCATCTTTTGGGTATTTTCTGCCTCGCGCGTTGTGTTTTTAAATACACGTGTAGAATGATGTAGAAAATGGCTGTTCCTTCTGAGCAAGTTAGATTTGTTTTTGCTTCAGTCGTACGTTGAATAACACAGCTCTAAGCCCCGAGCCTATTGGTAAAGCATCTACTTTCTTTTCACGTGGAAAAAAAGCACGTGCTGCAGCCTGTGCGAGGATGCACGGCACCATTTGCACCCCCTTATCCAAACCCCAGCTCCACCCCTGGCTCCGACCCACCTCATGCTCTGACATGTCACTGGCGCACTGCACGCTCGTGTCCACAGGGTCCCTCTCGATGAAGTGGGCGGCCAGGCTGGGGTCCGGCAGGATGTCCACGTTGGTCTCAGCCGGCCGGTCTGAGAAGTTGCAGGGGCGCCCGAACTCGCTGCGCTTCTTCACGTACACGTAGACGATCTCCATGGTGCCTGGGGCAGGGGAGAAAGAGGCACTTTGGGGTTTCTGCTCCTGCAGGATTTCACTGCACCGGGTGCGGACGCTGCCCACCCGAGCCCATCGCTCCGGTGTTAGCAGGGATGAACGCACATCAGCTGCAGAACGAGGCAACCAGGCACGGATGGCTCATGGGGCTTTCCTGCCTCTGAAAACTGCCCTGCCCAAACCTCTGGCCTCCCAGAGCGACGCCTCTCCGTGCATCTCCCACTGGTCTCACTCTCCAGCTGCCAGCACGGATGCGGTGACCCCAGTGTAAAGCTGGGACAGCTTCGTCCTAAGGCTCCCGACACTGCTCGTCCTGGTATCCCAACCCCCTGGGGCCCAGCGTGACGGTTCCCAGTTTGGGTGGCCACAGGTGCAAGCAGGAGCAGCCCAGGGGTGGGATGCATTGAGCCGTCCAGCACCACCGCGAACGCCCCGGCCTTCCCCGCACGGGGTTGTCTTGGCATGGGTGGGCGAGTGGCGGAGGCCGGGCTGTCCTGGCCCTGCCCCGGAGCCCGTGCACGGTGCTGCGCGGGGGCGTGGGGCCCAGGAGCCCGGGCAGCGCCCAGCACAGCAGCGATGCAGAACCCGGGCGCCCGGCGCTGCACGCGCCACCCTTGCACCAATGCCCAGCCAGGCGGGGTGCATGCGCGTGCCCCAATTAGGGTGCAAAAAGGACCCAGGCGCCCGGGGGGGAGGCCCCCCTTACCCTGGGGGGGAGGGGCAGCCCCGCGTCCAGCCGTCGGGAGCCGCGTCCACTCGTTGTCCAGCAACCGCCCGGGGTCGGTCACGTGACCGCCGCGCCTCTTCCGCCGCCGCCTGGGCGGAGCCAGGGCGGCCCCTGGCGGCCGGGCGGGGCGC